AAGGTAAGAACCAGTTTCATGTATCATTCTTGATGTCTAAAGAAGTCCTACCTGGTGGATTGCGATCGGGAAAGTCGTGATATATAAGCAAACTTCGATTTCATTTTTTTTTCGGTCGTGATGATAATTATGGCGGGAGACGAAGTATATTTCTATGAGTCTCGATTCTCTGATTCAAAAATGTTTACTGAATTTAATATTATTAGAGCAATTTAAAGTCTTAACTTCTTAGTCACAGTTTCTGCTGTTAAGGTACTGATTAACTCGTGATGCAGCTTTCATTTATTGATGTTTCTGATATTTCAAGTGCGAGGGGTAGTTGTTTTCAGGCAAAACTTATATTATTCACTTTGAATTTCGACTGAATATGCCTGGAGGCTGCCATATAATCATTGGTTTGTCCTGTATTATTTTACTTTGTGGCTCAAGTAGCATTTTTGTCATCACCATTAATTTTTGTAGCCGTTAGCGTAAAGGAACCAAGTTCGTAAACATGAATATATAGAGCACATCAAACTGAAGGAAAAAACTGGGGAATTACAATTGTTGTACGTGTCGTTGGTAAATCTAAAATTCAATGTTCCTTTTCCGTCTTCGTTAGGACAATAGATAAAGTAGACGAGTAGGTGGGAGGGTATTTGTCTGAAAGTTGAAAGTGTGTGCTGATAGTTGTCGTGTGGTTTATCATATCTTAATGACAGCATGTTTCGTCTCTTGATCCATTTTGATAAAAGGACAGAATTAATAAGAAAAATTACTTATTCAAATTAAGATTTTGGAAGGCTTTCTTGTTGAGTGGTGTGTTTTCTGAACAATGTTATCGCCGGGCGCCGGATATCTCGCTCCGTTATAGACCTCCCTGTAAGTAAAATAAGGATTAACGAACACCCTTTGTTTGACAACCTCCGACAGTATTATTGTAACGGTATCTAAAAGCAAACCTGATAGACACAATAGTGAAACATCGAGGAGAAAAAGGTTGAAGAGCAAAAAAATATACGATAATAAGGGCAAAAGAAATTCGTTCTCATATAAACCGACCGTTAATTTTTTATTTTTCTCAGAAGAATCAATATTGCGATAAACCTACCAAACGGATCGAATATAAAGAACGATTCTCGTCCTTAACTCAACGGAAATTTTAATCAAGTCTTAAACAATAGCAAAGAATACCATTTTAAAATCATACTACAAACAGCGTTTGACTTGCAACGAAAATTTCATCGATGATTATTTATATTTTTGAACGACTCCGTTTCTTTAACCTCAGTTGAACAAGTTGTAAGTCAGGTGTTAACAACACTCCACAGTGAAGGGAGAAAATTGAACTGTAGTCGACGTTCGCAACCCAAAAGGTCCGCGAGTTATTATAGCGTAAAACCGCATTCCCTTCCGACGGAAGTAGCGGTAAGTAACTTAAGTGATCCAAGTTTAAAGTTTTGGCTTGAGTTAATAAAGACGTTTTACTAAAAGAGCCTCTAAAAGTATCCTTCATTAAATGGAGAACACCTTTTCAAGAGCTTCCTTTAGATACCTGCTGGTACAGTTTCAAAGGGCGGATTCTTTTTCTCCTACAAAAAATGTCCTTCCCTTTTCAAGTTTTGCGCGTGGCAACCGGTTTTTATTCTTACAAAACAGTGGACGAGTCTTAGTTGTCTGGGTAACGCACAGCCTTTCGTAAAAAGACAGAAGCGAAGAAGATTGCAAAAAAAAGAGGAAAAGATTGGTTAAAAAAAGACAGACATGCTTGTTTACTTTACTAGTCACACGACTCTCGCTAATATTGCATTTTAAATTAAACGTTTTTTTTTTTTTTTTATTTTTTTTAGAACTAAGACTTATCCGTTACATGTCTGTGTATCTCGTGTTTTCAAATATTAAAATTCGATTCCTATAACTGAGTTCCTCCATTGAAAGCTGTTTTTATACAGCCGGTGTTCTTTTTTCCAAATAATATCATTTAATTGGCTTGTTTTTTGTGCAATTGCAATACTGAACTGTCCGCCTTTTTGCGGGGCGTCATTCTGATGCTCTTGTTCTAAGCTCCTTTGTAAGTCTTAAAATCCCTTAAACCTGCCAAATGTACGGGTGTTCTTTTCCAATGGCGAGTAAAAAACAAAAAAAAGCGCTCAAGTTTGCAGTCCACGCTCATGTCAGATTTGAATCTCATTGTTTGATAGTTAATTGTCTTTTTTCTTTCTTCTTTTGATAGATACTTTCTGCGCCGTCAGTAGGAATTTTTTCAGTTTATCATGTTTTTTTTTTCTTATCTTTCTGCTATCTAAAGAGGCAATGGTTATTTACGCCACTTGAAAAATGTTTTCTAATGTTCCTTTTAATCTTTCCAGTCGCTTTGAAAACGAAAAGCCTCGGTGAAAAAGGTCTGTTTGGTTCTTGATTTATATTAATTAATGAAACTTTTTTGCAGTCCCTTTCGGGGGCTTAAGTTAACATTTTATACAACTTCTTCTAGTTTTGGGACTCGTCTTCAAGTTCCACAATAATCAACTGCCGAAATCAGCCATTCAAATCTGTAAATTATCACTCCAAAATAATCGCTAATTTTGCTAAGATTTTGTGCTTCCTATGACAACCAGCGCAGTACTCAAAATCACAAAAAATTTTTCTTCTAAAACCTTCTGTCTATTGGGCGGCGGAAGCTATCCGTTTCCTTTCTTGTGTTGCCTAATATCCATTTATTTCTCAGTGTTCGCTCAACCGCATACCAAAACGTATCTGTTTGTTACATATCAACGCCTACTGGGGTGATGGATGTAAGAATTTTTTCAAAATCCTCTGTGTGTTTCCCTCTGCTTAAACCCACGCATAATGATGTCAATATTTTGTGAACTGATTCCTCAGGACATTCGTGACAAGTCGTATTTATTTTGAGAGTTTGACCGGAAGCGGACCAGCATGCGTGATGTGACTAAAAGGTTTACTCAATATCCGGTGTGGCAGATAATTCCGCTTGTTTACCAAATTGAATATTCCAGCTTATTAGCTGACAATGTTTTCATAGGCACTAAGGATGAGATGCACTAAATAAAAATACACTCCAGAGGTGATGGACAATTTTAGACCTTTGTATTTTGTTTGGTTGACAGTGTATGAAAGGAATACCTGTGTTCATGTTTCGGCGACTGACACTATATGCTTTCACGCAGTATTGAAGCTTTTTGCGGGCGGTTGATTCTGATAAATACCAGAAGCCACAACAAAAGGAGCTCATGAATTTAAGGCCATTTAACGGTTTCTTTCGAACACAGGGTATTACTTTGTCTCCAATTAGTTAGTACACAAAGAACTATTCAAAGATTCCTTTAATTTTTGCTGCAATTTAATTTTGATCCTTTTAAAAGATATTTATTACAGTGTTATCGCATCAGCGCAATATAGCCACCTGATCACCCGTATATAAAGTTTTGAATACAAATTGAAGCAGTTCTCTAACAGAGCAGTTTAAATTGTAGGATTAAAAATAGATATTAGTGTAGAAATGTAATGATAACAATCGTGAAAGCAATTAAATATGAAGGCCCGTATCATCATCGACTTGAGTTCAGGAAACCTTGTCATAAAATGGAGGCGTTAAAAATTTAAAGGATGATTATAAAAGACCTTGATCACGTTTCAGCATTCTTGAAATGAGCGCCATCGCAAATTGCACTTGGCTTTTTTTAATTATAGCGTAGGGTTTTTATATTTTTGGTAACGGTGACAACATTTAAGAATGTTGTAGTGTATTTTAAGACGCCCTAGGTTTTCAAGATGTTAAGAAGCAGCTGCTGGGATTTAAACTAACGGTAAATAACATAAGTAGGCAGTGAAGTGTAGCTTAGAAAATCCGGCCGGCTGCACAGCGTCCAAACCATCTGCTCGTAACAATGTAAACAGCTGCAAGGATTTCCGATTTTTTTCTTAACTGCTGCAGGTGGTTAAACGAAATGCATCCTTGATAAATACTTCCACCAAAAATCAGCGCAACTCAGATTCTCAGAGATGCTTTCTTCGTAGAATAATATTCCCACCTTTTTATTCTAGATTGCGTTGCTTGTTTTGGAACACAAGGTATCACTGAGAGTCTTCTCAGGATCATAATTATTATCATTATAATAACAATTATGATTATTATTATTATGTTCTACCGATATCAAAACCTTACCACAGAAGTTTAAATGACGCTTAACAATACAAAACACAACGAAGGGATATTGAATGACCATTTTGTCCATACAAACTTGTTACCTACAGTCTCTGGAACGATACTGGATAAACGAGCTAAAAAGATCTTACATAATCCATTTGGAAGTGTCTGATTTCATCTAGCTTGGGTCGTGAAAGTTAATATTTTGTCTTTTGGAAACCGAAACCAACTTCAGCAAGATATTAATCTAAATCAACAGGAGCTCGAAACTTCGGCCAAATGCGCTGATTAAATTTACACGTCAAATTCCGCTACTGTTAAACTGCATCATTTGGTGCCATGTAGTGAGGTATTGTCTTCGAAATGTCTTCTTAAATGAAAATTGTTTTAAGAATTTCTGACAGCACAAAGGAAACTTCACGCAATTTTACCAATTTCTAAGAGGACCAGATGTTCGGTCGCACAGGTGTGGTTGACAATGGAACACTAGTTGCTTGTCAAGGCTTAGATTAAGTCTCCATTGTTTCATGTCATGTCTTTTGTGTCTAGGGTAGCACCAAAAACGTGGTGTTTCCAAGGGCCTTATTGGGGCGTACATCCCACAATTCCGCGCTTTTGTCAGCCTCGTCACAGCTGGGCTTCGGCAAACAACAGTCTTTGCTAAAACAGTACTGTGTTATGAATATTAATATTGCCGAGTTGAACTATTGCGTTTGTTATGAAAGCAAGTCATTGCCACCTCTTGATTCTGATAGTGCAGTTAATTGTCCCTTACATGCTAGCCTCATTCACTCTGTGTAGCGAAGGAAAAAATAGTCTCTCTGTGCCGTTCCCGCGCACGATTTAATTTATTCAAGCCGGAATATCCTCATTCGTTAACGCGTGGGCCCTGATTAGCGTAGGAGGGATATTTTAGTACCCAAGCCGTCGCATTGTTTGATTTTGAATGAATGGACTTGAATATTAGCGTGAACCTCAAAAGTTTTCGCATTTGCTCGCCGAACGTACTATCGAGCGTTTCGAAGTATCTGTTACTGGTGAACCTCACCAGACTTCGTCACATAGAACTGAAGTTGTCCGTGGTTATTAGTAGCAAGGTAAGGGACCGATATTGTTCGGAGTCTTTCGGACCGATGATTTTGATTGAGTATATGGTTTTTACTACACACATGATCACGCGAACGCTAAGCTATGACTCAACACTAATTCTAACTTGTCTCCGCTTGCAGTGCGTTGAAGAAATTGACTATGTCTGTTAGTAGTCTTCTTCTGGAAAGCTTTGGTACCACCTTCGATCCTCTTCAACCATTGCTGTTCAAAGATTTTGGCGACGATTCAGAAGATTTGAAATCAAAGAGTAAAGAAGCAACCGATGACTTATGGAAGAATTTTTCATTTCCGCCGACGCCACCGATCTCTCCGGCTTGCTCGCCCCCGCACGCGGCGACCGAAGAGGCAAGAGAGCAGCCAGTTTGCTTCGGCGTGGCAGATGAGGCATTTTCTCTGGACGAAGAATGCTCGCTGTACTTCCAAGCCGGTGACCTAAAAGATATATTGATTAAAGATTGCATGTGGAACGGCGCTGCTTTCGATAAGAATGCGGACAGGAAGCAGCATCGATCGAATTCAAAAACGGATCGAGTTCGTTTGTTGTGCCAGACACCGCCACTGAGTGAATCTGCGGCAAGGATTTTGAGTGTGGATCCCTCAGAAATCTTTCCTTTTCCTCTGAGTGCAAGCCCTGGAAGCGAACTGCGAGAAAACATCGATGAGCAATCGGATTCCGGTAAATACAACCACTGATTGGATAAATAATAGATGCTGAGTTGCTGCGGCTGATTAAGTCTGTTCTCCATGTTCGCCGGTCTTTGACTTTAGTTGTCACTGACCCGTTTTTCCTGTTCATTGCCACAATTTTTTTATGTGTGCCCCCACGTTCCAAGGTCGCAACTTTTCTTATATACTTCTTGTAAATGTTTTCTTATGTCCCGAAAATAGCGTTAAATTATTTTCTTACATTCATGTTTGTTTTTGCAAACTTTATAGAAGAAGAGGAAGTCGAAATTGATGTGGTTACTATAGAAAATTCAAGCAAACGAGAGCAGGAAGCCGATGAAGTTATTGAAACTGAAAGTGTGGAAATTTGCACTAGAATCGAAGAACCGGTCCCAAGTGAAAGCTGCTCTGAAGTATCAAGTTCAGAATTGCGAACGGAAGACCCAGAGGAAGACGAGAAAACTGAATATGTGGGCAAGATAAGAACACGTCGGCATAGAAAAGTGTTATCCAGCGACGGATTGAATTACCGCGAGGGAAAGAAACTTGTTAAGAATATCAGCAGCTCTGGAGAAAGCGATGAGTCTGAGAACGACAGTGAATTCACACGAGCGACACATAACGTATTGGAGCGAAAGAGAAGGAACGATTTAAAAATGAAGTTTCAAAAATTACGAGACTGCGTTCCGGAATTGAAGGACAATGACCGCGCACCCAAAGTCTCCATTTTGCGGAAGTCTTGGGAGTATATAAGTCACATCAAACAAGAAGAAAGTAAACTCCTGACCGAGCTGGAAAAACAAAAGAAAGTTAACGCTATGTTGTTGAAAAAGCTACTGGCTTTGAATCAAGCGAACTAGAGACTTTTAATAGCGGGACGTAATGTTTTTAAGCCATTTTATCGACTTCCTACAGAGTTTTTTTTTTAAGTACCTGACTTGTGGTGACGAGTTTTTTGAAAATGTTCATTTGGTTTTCCTATTCCCACTTGCGCTTGAGTCGTCGAAGCGTAAATTATGATGAATGACCAATTTTGCTGTGCAATATTAGTGACGCGATATTTTTCAGAGAGAATTGAGGACACACTTTAGCAAAGCTGTAGTGGCCAAACTCAACCGTGTAGAACTCAGTTCGAGTTAATCTTGAAGATAGAAACTGATTGTAAATAGGGTTATAATTGTGCTGTTTCATTGCGAACAGCTTTGAAACCGGCTTTGTGCACGCTTGACAAAGGCATTAGAATTTCACGAAAATTTTCGATCAGTCTGATGTAGATTTAGAAAACACGATTTGAGATAGAAAGTACTTTTCAAATCAAAAATAAAAATAAAGTCTTAACTATACTCTGTTTATTGAATGTTTCGCTAAACATCGGCGTAAAACGATGGCGTTTTTGTCGAGGAAACATCGAAACAGCGTGTTCTTTGTTTGGCTGAAACTACTATTCCATTCAAACGGAGTGACACTCCTCGAATGAATGACCACCGCATTTGCATTTTCATGTTGACTTTAGCCAGGCTTAGACTAAACTGCATAAATTACAAATCCATTAGCCTATTACCTGTCTTGTGTTGCAATGAATTAAACTTGTTGGGAAATACAAAATAATCTCATCCAAAAGATTGGGCAAACCGCAGCGTCTGTTTACATCATAACTCAAATTATTAGGCGCGGTGACTTCGCGAAAAACCATACAAAGATAATCTCTAAAAAGTCATTCATAGGTCGTGGGGAAAAATAAACTTCCCTTCAATGGATCGACTATGTGTATTTTAACATGTTACAAGTCGCTTCGTTTACTTTTTTTCGACACGACTTTAACAAAAGGTGTTGTGAAAAGTTTGGAGATCATTTTTCTTGCGTAAGCGCAACAAAAGGTTTGTGTTTTCAAAAGTTTTTTCTCGCGAAGAGCAAGTCGCAGATTAAAAATAACGCACAAATTTATTGTTTGAAAAGAAAGTGTAAAATCCAGAGTACAATATATCTGCAAAGTTAGGTTTTAACAACTAATTTATTTATTTTATTAAAATAATGTCCCCTTCAGACAAAAAAAAAAACGTTAATATTGATATTACAACATGGAACGTCGTTGGGAAATTTTGATTCATTAAAATTCGGCTGGTAACACCAAAAAGTGAGTTAAACAGCCTATTAGATTTTTTTCCTCACAATTTCACACCTTTAAAAGCAATTTGATTTCACTTGACTAAATTGAGTAATATCGTAATGGTTGTACAAACTTGAAAGAAATCAAAACTTTGAAATTGTTCTTTCATGTTCTTTTCTGTTTTGGTTTCTTTAATCATTTTTCAAGATCAAATTTAGCGTCCGATCAAACGATCTGCTTGCATCAATTATGCTCAGATAAATAATGGAAGTTTGAACGTTCGTAACAAAAAATTTTCTGATAACGAGTCAGACATATCACTGCTACGCTATGAGTCAAAATTGTAAAGTTGCTAAGAGAGTGAGGGCTCGCGCCATCTCATCTCTGTTCGTTTCCGGCCATATTGGAAAAGTGTTTACTTTGAGAGCAAGTAAAGAGCTTCAGGGAATTGTAATGCAAATCTGAGCAGGTGTTCGGTTGAATGGGGCAAAAATAGACCCTTTGTTTACGGCAGCTGCCTTTGGCAGAATTTCACCGCTTATTACACAAATTACAACTTATGGCTAGAATATTATCTAGGTTTATTAGTTTAGTTTCCACTGCGGCTTTTTAGCCTGTGAGTTTTTGTAGTAAAGTCTTTGGTTTTGTAATAACGTCAATTTAAGTGATTTCAATTCCATTTGTCGAGCTTGCAAATGTGATAAATAATGCTTGCGAAAGATACATTGATATATAGCGCAATTAGAAATATCTCAACAAAGACGTTTTCTTTTTCTCCTTTCTAGAGGATTGAAACTTGCAAGCTGTCAAGGAACACTGTTTTATTTAATAAAGGTCTTACACTGACTGATTTTTAGGAAAACTATTTTTAAGCTAACTCCAGCAAATTGCGCGGGAAACGTAATTGACTGTTCCTATTACAGATGTCATTACCTCGGACATCTATACATATGAAAATTATGCACCACTTTACCAGGACAACTGTCACAGCACAGGTTGTGTTATGAGTGCACTATAAACTAAATTCCTTTACTTTGATTCACTCAACTGTCTCTATCGAAAAAGGGAAAGATTCAACGCGGGTCTATTTCTTTTTGTTGTTATTTGTCCTTCCCATAGAATACTATTTATCGAATTGACACCGGCTCCGACAATCCTGCAGGGTCAAACTTTTACTTTCGCCAGGATAACATTGAAAACTTTAATAATAACCACTCAAGGCTATTTGAACGTAGTTGAAAGACCACATCACTGTCGTCAATATTAAGGCAGCCTTGATATCTTTATTGAACGTTTAAAAAATTAAATATCGCCGCGTTAAAGCTAGCTGAACGTTATTTTGAAAGAAAGTGCTAATATCTCGAGTGCGATAAGCTCTTCATAAAAAGCTTAAGGAAATTGTTCTGCCCCATTTAGCACGGGCCAGCTGCTTCTAAAGTACGAGTTTAATACCCCATTCAAGCTGTCACAAACCATGTAGATAATTTGCTTCCCACGAATAAACATTTGCTCCCAAACTATAGACTTTCGCAATAAGAGCGCGCGCGTAATTTGCATTTGAATGGATTTCATTTAATTTGATTGACGGCGTCCTCCTCGCGCGTGCCAGCCGTGCGACAACAACCGCAAACAAAGGGTTTTCTAATTCGGCTTCAATCCTGTGTCCCTAGAGGCCGAGCTAGACATAGTCAGTACTCCTTACATGGCTAATTCGATTGTTGTGATTAATACTCTGGCCACAGCGGTGTCAATGCTCTTTTTTTCTTTGAGCCATTTTGCGCATAAATACTTCGGCTTGACCTTTGAAGCGAAATGTTGTTCATTGTTTCAATGATAATGCTCTGGGAGAGATTGTTTTTCGTGCGCGCTGTTTGCGCAGGAATCCAAGCGTCATGCTTGTTAAAACGCAAGCTTAAATTATGGCTCTCTCTCGTGCCACATCACTCTATTCCTCGATGCCTGTTCCGAAACCGCTTTTTGGCGGGAAAAATTAGCCCCCCCTATTTTATATCTTTCAACTCGTGCCAGAGATTCAATTCACTTTGATATTCTATGATCATTAGTGGGCTAATTAGTAAGGCACGCGCCGGTACGTCATTGACACACGAATAGTACTTAACACCCCCAGAAAAATTACCAAATCTTCAAAATTAATGGAGTTACTGCAAATATTATGTCAACTAAGCTATGACACCACCGGAACATCATGATTGTTAAAGGGGTCGATGTTATCGGTTGAGTAAATAGCGTAGAAGGTTTAAGTCCAATAAAAAGCATAAAATGCAAGGGAAGTTGCCGGTTTATAAAATCTGCCTCCCTAGAAAAACCTTGCCTCGCATGCCTTACATCCAAAAAGCAAAATTGTGCTGGTTTTTATTTCCACAAAGAGCAAGGTCTACAATATATTCATTGACGCTACTCTCTTTAGAAAATGGGTGTGTCGTGATGTAGTTTTGTCAGATTCAATTGTTCTTGTAACCTCTTGCGTGGAGCCTATTCATATGCAAGCAGATTACGCTGTAACCTCTGTAGCCCAGCCGGCAACCTCAGAAGAGTGGCATCCTGATTAAAGCACTAATATATCTCGAGAGCTCGTTTAGGAGACGCGTGCGTCTTTTACAAGCACTTATACTCCAGGCCTTTATTCATCGGCTTCAATCTTAACAGTAAACCAGTTTGAAGTTTAAACCTCCGCAAGAAGATCATCATTTTCAAGATGTTTGCAGCTACCAGTGCATTGTGAGTATCGGTATTTTTTATCCTACATAATTAACTAAAAAAAAACTGCACTGCTTTCTTTGTATTCGCAACCAAACCCTCCAAAGCCTGCGATTCTAACCTGCAATTTGCGAGAGAATTTCGCACGAAGCTTCGATTTCTTTCAGCAATTCAGCTGCAATTTGTCTTTGAAAGGAATATTCGTACACTGATCTGAAAAGCACGGATGTCAACCAATACGATTTTGTCCCATTTGCGTCCCTGAACCAATTTCGAATACGTACGTAAAATGGCTTAATACCTACCAATTGGCATTTTTCTACGCCATGTCAAAAATCAAAACAATAAAAATTTTTTTTTTTTAATATATGGTCTTTAAAAATGATCTTGACAACTTTCAACCGTCATACATATAACTTTGGTCGAACCCTGGATAATCATATGTGCGTTTTTAACGTCTGTTGAAGGTGTCAAGATAACCTGTATTTTTTTTGCTTTTCTCCCGCTGTTTTCTATTTGCCAAAACGTTACTGCCTAATCGAAGATATTAAGAAATTCCTTTAGATGTAACTATGCCCTTGTCGCCCCAGCGAGCGCCATCAATATTTGGGTTGTTTTGGCGAGGCGCGCAACTCTACATCTTCTGGAATTCACTTGTTGCGCCTTTCAAAAGTGCAGTGCTTTTGGAAAATTCATTTTGGAAAGGATGCTGGTTTTTCATGGTGCCACACATAATTATTTCTTCATCTAACAAAAGACTGAACAGGTCGATAAACATTGCTACGGGTCGTTCGCTTATGAAAAACTCCAAGAAAACATGAATATTCAATTTTGCGTAACTCATCCGAGGCCTTTATTTCAGTGAGGGTGACTCGAAAACCTGTAAGCTACAAGTCTTGTTTGTCAAACCAAGGAGCAGAATTCACAGATCACTGCACAAGAGAAAACTATACCAATTTTGAGAGAGAGCCAACGAGGAAAAATCAAACTTACACGCGTGATGCCCACGCTTGGATCTTTAGCATTTGATGACTTTATGCAAATTTGCCTTTTGTGATGTGATCAGTTCATTCATTGACTCATTCATTCATTTGAAGCTTTTAACGTGAAAAGCGGCTGGTCTGTTTGAAAGCAGAAATTTTTTTCTCCCTTCACAAATCTCAAGGTGCTCGCTCAATCGCTAGGTGCGTGGTGTTTAAGTAAACAGGCAAGCGTGCAGATTTCAAATCGTAAAATAGAAAATGTGTACTTTGAATGGTGGCCAAGCGCATCCTAATAACTTGTACGTTTTTTTTTCTTTCCAATAACAGACTCTGTTGCGAGATGTTTTTTGACGAGAGACTACGTGGACCTCAACCTATAGATTCCTCTGCTCATCAAGATCTCATCGCCGCAGAAGACCTTTACAGCCCGGCTTTTCCGATCGACGACTTGTGGAAGAAATTCACACTTCCAACGCCACCCTATTCTCCAGAGAACTACTTACCCCAGACTAAGCGCAACTTTGTTATTCCACCAAGAAGGAATGGCCTTCAAGTCGTTCCCGAACCGGAAGATCTGTCGTCGGACCTACCCTTGGTTTTGTCCGACGCAGAGATGGAACGCCTGACCTGTAGCACAATAGATGACGAATATATTTGGCCGGCTGGTGAGAACGACTTCGATAGAGTTGAATCGCAGAGGTTTCAGGGGAATCGAGTAGTTCATTCGGCGGCATGCGTCAACGAACCAAGCGCTGAAATGGCGACTGAACATCAAATGATGCGAGATTTGTCTCCATTTGTCACTGCGATTCCAAGTCAAGATTCCGCGCTTGGTCTACCGCAGGTTGAGAGATGGCACTCGCAGTTCTCTGGTAAATATCACGCTTATTTCGCGTAGATACCAAGAATTAACTTTGCGATGTGTGAGTTAAAGTATGTCTTGTAGCCCTTTGCGATCGAGACGTGTAATTTCACTTTCGAAATGTATAGCAAGTTGCACCTCGCGAAAGACCTTTCATTGACTTTACAGCGCTTTAAACTTAGTTTCGTTTAGTTTCACAATCGGGAATAATGAGATCATTTACTTTGCTTTTGTCGCTTGTGAATGAAGAAAAAGGGGAGCGTGCGACGCATTTTCTCTGTTCTTTAAGCCATTTTCCGGCCCTCAAGTCTGGTAACTAGAAACAGAGTTGGCTGTACATCTTAAAAATCTGAGCAAGTGATGAATGTTGATCACAGGACTTCGCTATTAATTGAGTGTTTAAAATGCACGCTTTGTGGTTTTAAAGACGAAAGTTTTATAACTACTTGGTTTTGTTTATAAGTTGTTTTTAGATTTTTAGTTCACACTTTGGCGCGTTTTTCAGTAAACTTTGATTCAATTGTCAAAATTACTTTCGCGATCCTGGGACGCTTTCAAGTGATTTGACGTTCGAAAAATAACTTTACAAAGGCTTGAATCAAAATTAGTGTCTTTGAACATCTGATATTTTCTTTTTGTCAAACAGAATACACAATCTGCCTTATGACAAGCCGGCTTATGACTGGCCCTGTGCTAATTAAATCTTTTTTATTTCGAAAACAGAAACGCTCTGAACAATGGTTTCAAGCAGTTGAAAAGACTCGTTTTGATTCAAGATAAAATAAAAGTTTGCAATTCCACTATTAATTAGTCGGAGAGTATCAAAACTCTTATTTGCAAACCCTAGGAGTAAATTAACGTTTACAACCTAGCTTGGAGAGGTAGCAATAGAACTCAGTTGAAATTCGATTTAATTTGTAAACTCTACTTTATTGTGCCGTGTAATTTGACTAATTCTGCGTAATTTTCTTTTCGTTGCAGTGGAAAATCCGGCATTGAGACTAAATCAACCCCCAAGCGAGGAATTTGTAACTCATCGGCTTGACTGCACGGTATCGAAGAAACCGCGCAAATCTCGAAGATCAAGTCGCCAAGATTCACCGCCAATGGAGGGCGATGACTCTGAAGACAACGAAACAAGCAGAGCAACTCATAATGTCTTAGAACGACAGAGAAGGGAGGATTTAAAATGTCGTTTTCAATTTCTTAGGGACAGCATACCAGAGCTCGAAGATAATGATAGAGCATCTAAAGTTTTAATCTTAAAAAAAGCGCGGGAATACGTACATCAGTTATTCTTAGAAGAGGAACGTTTACTTGCTGATAAAGAGTTAGAGCGGCAGAGGAGACTGATTCTCCTTGACCGCCTTAGTTGTTTACGGCAAGGTTATGGTGTAATGTAGAGGATTTCAAAGTTAACTTCTGTTAACTGTAAACTTTAGGCTACAGTTTTTTTTTAAGAAGAATTATTCTACAAGTCGAGGAAAAAAATCGCATTTTGTTCATTCATGAAATAGGATTTTTGTATGCTACAGTTTAATGTTGCCATTTGCCGTGCAACGGATGTCAAAAGTTAATACTCAGATTAATTCGCGTTTTATAACTACAGAATTAACTTGATTGATATAAATATATTATGTAGCCATTCACAGCCGAGGTATTAAATTATTAAGCAGGAGTAGAATTCTGGGGTTAAAATATCTCTAGTCTTTGATACTCTTGCAGAGGCAAATCCAAACTCGAACATTAGAACATTTCAATCGATAAAACGGTTTCAAACTTCACCTCTAAGTCAATTTTTAAATTAAATTGTGTAACTTTGTTTTCCATTTTTGCTAGTCGACGTATTACTCAAAGTAATTTTTCACATAAAAATTTCCAGTAAATTTAAGAGACTCTGATTTTACAGCAAAGTCATCTTAGAAACTGAACTTGATATCTCAGGATATTTTGTTTTCAAGTAAAATCTGCAACGAGTATAAACTGAAAAAAAATTACAAACAGAACACAAACAGTCGTTCGTTTTTCAAGCAACATATCCTAACATGGAAAATTCAGGAACGGCGCGGATCATAAACATAAGTTTCTCCGTCAATATCTGAAGTTTAGCCATGTTAAAACTTCTGTGAGAAAGCTTTCGTTTTTGCTCGCAATCAAATGCCACGTAAATTCAGTTTTGAGAAGTTCTAAAAGAGTTTCTCCATATTTGTACAAAGGAATTACGACAAACTATTGCTGTGAACAGCGAAAAATGTATGAAGATATTTTTTGTCGAAGTCAGTGGTGGTTAGTTTCATGTCTCACGGAGGTTTCAGATTATTCAGCTTAACTAGCATGTAATCTGTACATGAAACAATTTTTGTAATGAAAACGTTTATGCCTTGAAAAATAAATAGGCTTGGAAATGTGTAAACTTCTGTTGGGAATTCTTTAAGCCAGAAGCGAGTAATGGGGCGAAATAAACTTTTAATTTGCAGGAGAGACGGCGCAAATCGAGATAAATGCTGTCTGGGTGATATTGAAAGCGTCAGTTTTGGCAATCAGTGCGAAGCAATTTAATTTGATCAGACACAAGCGCAGAAAAGCTTTATACGATTGTTTTGGTTTTGAAGGTATTTTAATTTTCTGAAACATAGATTATACGGGAAGTTGGACGTGGCCTCGACATTACTGTTCGAGTTACCTCGTTGCTTAACTAGTCCAGTCGGGTTTAGCGAGATGAGGGTTGCTAATATCCACGCGCGCTTAATTCAATTTGAGGAAATTGCGCTGTCTGATATTGCTATTTTGGTTTCATATGAGAAAACAATTTCACTTCTAAGTCGAGTTTATAAACAAATCAAAATATTTTGCTGATTTATGGTCCAAATACGAAATTCACTGGAATCGAAACCGGTGGCTATCGTATCTATTAAATATTAGTTAATCGCGGAGTAGAAGTTTTAGTGTCATAGCAGCCGTTTGCAAATCTTCAAATATTCATTTGATTTATTTGGCAGACCAGTCGAACAGCTGCTGTTTCCCAGCAGTCCATAGCCTGATATATTCCAAATGTAGAAGGCGACGTTTTGAATTCGTCGTTTCGAAATTCCCAAATGTCCCCACCCCGGCTTAAACTCTGAAGAACTTTGACCCTACGTGATGTTTTCTTTAAGAACAGAATGCGAATTTTGGTTCTCAAAGGAAATGGAAATACCAAATAAAACTGCACAAGCAGTTTAGAAGATGCCAAGCGACAACTGATTTGATGAGAGAAGTTTAAGTGCGTTACGCATTATTTCTGTGGTTTTCAGTTTCCTTTCCATCTCGGATGACAAGATGAAAGCGAAAAACACAATTTTGTATAAAGAAGGCTTTTACATATGCATCACAAGTCTTCTACACAAAAATGATCATTTTATTACAATGATATCGTGGGATCGTGGAACTTGAAGTCTGTTGGCTCGAGTCTTTGACAAAAAACCGCGCCCAAAAATTAGGCTGTCTTTGCATAAACTCGATTGTAGTTAATCCAGTAAACTAACGCTGATTTGGCGTCGCTGTTTTAATTTAAATGTCATAATAAACTGCCCGCAAGCCTTCATTCTTTGACTTTTGTGAAGCATTATCAAAACAAACTTAAAACTCAGCTGAAGCAAGCTTATAGAATAAATGCCGGACAAGAAAGTGCGCGCCCTAATCGCGCGCGCTGCGCTGCAAGTTTTTGGCAAAATTCTTTCACAACGTGCGAATAAGTAGATCTCTTTTCTTTCAAGATTCCTTTATGGAGAGTGATTTTCTCTGTGATATATTACGCGCCCTACCAACACTTTGTTGCCATTAGTTTCGACCTAAACGATTTTTCTTCATTATTCTTCATTATTTTTGTTTTGAAGCGCCAGGCGGGTAAAACCAATGAAAAGCTTTTGTCACAGCGCGGCTGAATGCGTTTTATCTCTTATTTTAAGCCAGATGTGCCTTGCTTCGAATCTTCAAATCGACTATTAACAGCTTTCCGACGTAAAATCTAGCAAATTTACACCAGTTTTCTGTCTCGAGAGAATAAAATATTGTGTTCATCTGAAGACTTTGATTTACTTTGTGTTACGTTATTCTCTTGTTGACAATCCTCTTTATTCGCACACGTGTTCTCAGTCTTAATTATGACTAGAAGGGGTATAATTATGCGGCGAGACGGCGGGGTGTTTTGGATAAAATAGATCGATATTTCCGTAGACTGGTTTTTCAATTTAATTTAGTTACGATATTGTGCAGAAAGGTTTGCGCTGAGTGCTTTAAATGAGCGCGTCACCATGTGAAAGCAATTGACTTAATGCGCGCTATGTAGAAATGACAAGAGGATCGACTTATCAACATGCTTATTAGGATCACTAACGAAACTAAATTTTGCCGGCAAATTAGTCGTTGCGTGTTCTGATAGCGTTTATTTATCGTGTTGTCGAGTTTTCGTGATTTCGCCCTTTTGCTTCCCCCATAGATTATCAAAACCAATGGCGTGAGTTGCAATTAATCAAATCGGCAAACGCAAGCTAAAACTCGAGGCTTTTAGCGAAGTAATTAATGTCTGACTAGTGGCAACGGTTACATCTTGGTTGGCACGCAATATGTTATACCCTTTTGTTAAACAAATCTTACGTTTCCTCTTTTGTGTTTCAGCTCTAATTGCCTGTGGCCTGAAATGCTTTTAGTGACTGACATTTCTTTCGCTTTGCCAAGCAATCAAAAACCACAACGAAAGCGGGAGAACCTATTTCTTGAAGCAAAGTTGTTGTAGTAAAGTTTTCTTGTTGTCGTTGACGGTCAATCTCAAGAGAGTTTTGCTTTTTTGTAATTCATCATTTTTTTGTTAGAGCTAGCTTCTCTTTCAGTTTTATTACATTTGTGTCAATCAGCAAGACTCACTTGTCCTCTGTCATATTTTTTTCATGTCAAGGCTTTTTAGCGCAAAATCGAAATCGCATGATGTATAACTCTGGAAACTTGAGTGCGCCATTTTCAAACTGATAACGCCATCATAGTGTGAAAATCTTTGATTGCCTTAAAACGGCGGGAAAGTTAATTTGCTTTGTTATGTTATCTCTATGTGTCTTTTCTTAATTTGTATATAGTTCAGATTGATTTACTGGTGTCTCATTTGTCATTTTAGACAATTTGAATTTCTCTCTTTAATCGTTTCTGAAAAGAGATTTGTTTTTGAAGTCATGCTGGAGACTCCGTGCGCACTTTCGGAGCCAAAACGGCGTAGGCGCGCATATGTAAAGTGCTTCAGTTTTTACTAGACGGTAATTTTAGGCGTCTTTTTTGCGCAATTTCGCCTAATGTTGAACTTTTTCCGCGTCTAGCTATCGGTAATCCTTCACGTAACGATAAAACAGAGGACATGACGTATTGAACAATGAAGAAACTAAGCCAAGTACAAAAAAATTAACCTCAACGTTTTACAAAGTCACGTTTGTTGACGTGCGGAAGGGCACCCTACCAACATAACTATTTTTCAACCACTCCGAACAACACGCAAACGATATCAAAAAAAAAAAAATCATGACAGTTTGATAATGGTGAAGTGCGCATTTCCTTCTTGTTTTGTGGTCGGTACACCAGTAATTTACTTAATAGCCTGAGGAAAGTGACTCGCGCCTTTTCAGCATAGTTGCGGGCAAATTGAAATTTCACTGCAAGAAAGAATTTAGAAAAAACTGACAGGATTTGAAAATAAATTTTATAGTACATGAATTCAGAACTGTGCCAATATTGCACAAGCAATCGAAAATAACAAAACGAAAAAGCAATTAAAAAATTCTATTCACGTATCTCTTTTTCTTGGGAATTCTTGAGCATCAAAGATAGCAGCACGGAAGCATTCAATACTGCTTCAATTTAATTAATCGTCACGTACCATGTTTCCGATAAAACCACCATGATTGATCTAAAATTAACTCACTGCCACTTACTGAATAGCTAAACACTACTGAGAATTACTCTTTTTAGATCAGTTCAAATTCAATAGATGCGACTTGATGACAGGAAGTTCAGCTTTGGAAGTCTGAAGTCTGAGAGTGACCTTTTGAGTGCGCCCCTTGCACCTGGCGATTTACATCATGCAACAATTAATTACTTCAAAACAAATCATTTTCAAATTCATTATTTGCAATATGTTTAAATCTTCGGACACCTTACTATTCGATTCCTTTCGCTTCTTAGTACACTCTTTTGTGTTCTTCTATCGTAGCCTAAACTAAACTCTTGTGGCTAAGCTGTCGATAATTTGGCGAGTCGACTACAAATGGTTCGTTGACACTTCTACTTACTTTATCAATACACTCTCCATGAAGAAAAATGAACCGTAGCCAAGACATCAAATTCTTTAAACCGACAAATTTAGAAGAAAATGCACAGAAGCCAGAAGGGAGAACTAAAAATCAAATTTTGAGAGTTAGAGAATTAAGAGACGAATGAAAAGCCTTTGGAATAAGATAACTCAGTTTTGTACCAAGAGATACACCGGCGGTTGGCAAAAACGGGTATCTAATAACAATTGTTCTATAAGTTAAACAAACGTTTCATTGTACCTTTAAACTAAACGGGTTTATCAAACGTTTCCAAAGAGACCCGTTCCTCGCACCACTAGTAACCAAGATGACGATATACAACTTTTAGGACATAAATTTGAAATTTTACGGTTCATGCCAAAATATTAAACAGCGCTAGCTCTGCAAAATCTCGTAATTATGACCACTTCAATCAGTTAAATCACAAGAGATTCTTGATAAAGTTGGACTGAAGAAAAAAAAAACAATCGTTCGCTCTAATTTAATTTTCGTATTCAGTTATACCATATCTTTGTAACAGATCCGAATGTTCTCTCCGATCTGGCGTGAACGAGAGTAAAGATTTCAAAGACGGAAAATTGTTTGTTGATGGACTGATACACGATACGCACGCATGAAAATGAAAATCGTTAGTCTAAACACAGGTGTCGTTAATTGGCGTTGGAGAGATAAGAGCCAAACGACTAGCGAAGAAACAATTGTTAGGAGTTTGATTCTATGCCAGATATTGTTCGCGTGGGATGTGTTGGAAAGAGCCCGCTGGTAGTAGGTGGTCTGACGTAAAGCGAAACGATCACAATAGCCCAGTTTATTAACTATACAGAAGTCTTGACATTCAAGGAGACTCTGAGACGGGAAAGACATTAAAGGGAAGTCTAAAGGAGGTGTTAGGTTGATTGTGGAAAGAAAATAAAAGGCAAATAAACTTCCTGTCTGTTCCGAAAATAGCTTGACAGTTTCGTAATATACGTCACCGACACCATGGCGGCTTTTTCGGTAGCCCGGAGTAAGGCAAATTTGACTGCATCGACTAAATTACTTTTCGCGCATGAAGGATGGACGTGTAAGAGAAGAAAAGAT